TTTCTTTCTTTCTTTCTTTCTTTCTTTCTTTCTTTCTTTCTTTCTTTTCTTTCTCTGTCTCTTTCTTTCTTTTCTTTCTTTCTTTCTCTCTCTTTCTTTCTCTTTCTGTTCTCTTTCTTTCTTTCTTTATGAGAGAGAGCGAGCGCATGCGCACACAAGTGAGAGGGTGAGAGGGACAGAGAGTGAGAGAGAGAGAATCCCATGCTGTCAAAACAGACCTCAATGTGGGGCTTCATCTCACAAACTTTAAGATCATGATGTGAGCTAAAATTGACAATCAGACGCTTAACTGACTGAGCCACCCAGCTGTCCCAAGTGCAGTTCCTTTTAAAGAAATACTGTTCCTCAAAAGTTAACTCTAGAGGTGCCAGGTGGCTCAGTCAGTTAAGCGTCCAATTCTTGGTTTCAGCTTAGGTCATGATCTCATGTTTTGAGTTTGAGCTCCATGTTGGGCTCTGCGCTGACAGTGCAGACCCTGGTTGGGATTGTCTTTCTCCCTCTCTCTGCTCCTCCCTTGTGCTCCCACACACACTCTCTCAAAATAAATAAATAAACACACACAAAAAAAGTTAACTAACTCTAGGGGCACCTGGGTGGCCCAGTCCGTTGGGCATCCGATTTTGGCTTAGGTCATGATCTCACAGGTTGTGAGTCTGGGCTCTGCACAGGGCTCTGTGCTGACGACTCAGAGACTGGAGCCGGCTTCAGGTTCTATGTCTCCTTCTCCCTCAAATATAGGTAAAACATTAAAAAAAGCAAAACAAAACAAAAAAACCAATGGGGGTGCCTGGGTAGCTCAGTCAGTTAAGCATCCGACTCAGTTTTGGCTCAGGTCATGATCTCACGGTCTGTGAAATGGAGCCCTGCGTCGGGTTCTGTGCTGACAGTGCGGAGCCTGCTTGGGGTTCTCTCTCCCTCCCTACCTTATTCTTTCCCCCTTCCCGGCCCATGCTGTCTCTCAAAATAAGTAAATAAACTTAATAAAAATAAATACATACATACATACATACACACATAAATAAGTTAACTCTAAACCTAAAAAGATCATTAGAGAAAATCTCACTCTTTCACATACTTGTAACTAGCCTTGGCAAGCAACTGATGGATGTGTTCTTTCACGTCTTCGGTGGTCTCTGTACTAGCAATCACCACAGGAATCTCCTCTTCTTCCTGGGGAAGCTTTAGCAGCTGCTGCAGGGTAGACCTCAACTCTGGCAGCATGGCTTCCCACTCCTCCTCTGGGTCCAGCACTGCAGCTGAATGAGAAAGTCTCACTTAGACTCTTGGAGTTTCTGATGGCAGGGAACAGGATGTCTAGGGTGAGGATTCCTACACAGTAACTACTTACAAGCAGCTGCAGTTCGCCTCTGGGCCCTCATCTCTTGTAATTTCTGGGTTTCCTTCTGCAGTGGTCCAGCAAGGTCAGTGTCACTAAGCTACCAAGGTAAAATGAATATCAGGGTCATTAAGTCACATAATTTCATTCCTGTTTCCATTTATTCTTTCTCTTTTGGGTAGATCAAGCCTACTTACCTTGCAGGAAAAGGGATTATTGGCAAGAAAACTGGCCAGCAGCTGAATGGCATTTTTACATACTAGCACTGACTTGTCTGCCAGACGTCCCACTGCTAGGGCCACCACTGCTTGGAAACGTGTCAAGGGGAGAGCCTATGTGGGGTAGGAAGAGAAGAATGAGCTCACGTACCACATCATCCATTCTGTTCATCATACTCAAAATGTTCTTGAAGTACACTATATGTGAGCTACCTACTCACTCTAAAGAAACTTTTCTATGGGATATAAAATAGTTACTCTTTGTCGTGGTTAAGACACAGTATAGTCCTTAAATGGAGCCAGGCATCCTTGTCCTTGGTAGAGGAAGACCTTTATTACTGGTAGTAAGAATGTGAATTCTAGACTCTTCTGTGGGACACGGGATTCCTCTTTTCTCCAGCCTGTCTACAGAATACTGTTATGTCTTTATCATGCAGAAGGCTATTCACCTTCTGCTGGACGATTCGGGTAAAGAGCTGCAAAACACGGCTCCGCACAAAGGAGTTGACGTCGTGGCCATGGGCTTGCAAGGTGTCCAAGAACTGGTCTCTGGTGTCTCGGGCTGCTTCCTCCAGTTGATCACCATTCAGAACCTGCAGGACCATCTCCGCCATAGCTGCCAGCACAGCATTGCGCATCATGTAACTCTACGGGAGAAGTGGTCTGGTCTGAGGCTCCTCACTCCAATGCTAACTCTCCCTTCCCCAAACTCTTGGGCCTGTCCAGGCACAAAGAAGAGGTGAGGCCTTAAGTTAAGGGTAAGCTTGCTTCACTCTGACTTTTTCTGGTCAGTTGCCTAGGTATCCACTCCTGAGATCAATGGAAGGGGCCTTGTCTGCTTGAGAATATAGGGACAAAATAAACAAGAACCCCCATTTTTTTCCCATAAGGCTCATCACATCTGTATACGTTTAAAAAGCATTAATTTCTACCTTTCATCTGAAGCTTCAAAGCCTTTGATCCATCCTAATAAAACACCCCCTTCCCTCCCACTCCTTCTTGCATTTTACTGACAAAAGAATGAAACACAGAGAAGCACAAGTCAGCCCTAGGGTGCCATGCAAGTCCACTGCAGAATGTGAGGAACAGGGGTTGGGGTTTTTACCAGGCCAAGAGCCAGAGAATGGAATCTTGCACAAGAAGTTATAATACACTAGATGACCTAGGAGACTATCTTTGTCCTTGACATTGACCCGGGATGCCCTGCATCAGTGCGGGAGGCAGCCAGGCAGAAAGAATTGAGAGTGGCACTGTTCAGAGAGTGCAGGCAAGCTCTATGGTAGGAAGAATGGAAGGAGCTTCATCCTGATGAATGGAAGGGACTCAGAACGATGGCCGAGTGACTCTCACTAGACCTAAGGCATGGAATTGCCATCCCCTTACCAGGCGTGGATAAAACCGGTTGATACTGAAATGGAGATTAACAAATGGCTCTTTAGTCAATAAACTCTATCTGCTTCTCTGTAGGAAGAAACTGCCACCAAGTTATGCTTAGACACCTTGACTTCACGGGAAAGCCATCTTCTTGTTATAAGAAACAGCCTTAAAATTCCCAGAAGAACCTGAGATTCCCAGGGGACCACTTACCTCTCCATCCAGATGATCCAGCAAAATGCACATGCTGGACATCAGGATGGCTGGGATGTGTTCTGCTAGTTCTGTCAGAAAAGCTGCAAAGCCCTTTGCCCCTGAGGGGTCCCGACTCAGCTCCTGGGGACACTTCTGTCCAATCTCTCTGTGCAGGAAAGAAAGCACAGCCACAGCAAGATAATTCAGTTCCCAGTAAGGGAAGGGAAGTCAGCTATCTAAAATCTAAAGAAACCTAGTATGTACAGAGAACGCATTTCTAATCTTTCTTTTATCTTCCCCCTGAGGGAGATGAGAATCAGAAACTTAGACAAGAGTCACCTTACAATCTCTCCCACGATGCTCTTCATTCCATAATCAGTTGCCCACAGACTCACAGCCGCCACCAGTACTGGTGCCAGGTGTTCAAAGTGCTGCAGCATCTGGATGATCTTCACAGTGGCACCTGTGGAAATACTACACGTGAGAAATTACGGGCAAAATGGAAACCGCGGGGCAAGGCAGAGGGCTAACTTACTGAGCATATGATTATAACGTGTCAAGGCGACACCAAGCAGGCGTGTTATAGCTTCCCGGGTGGGGCGGTTCTTCTGGTGACTAATGGTGGGGTTCTCCAGGAGGCGGTAGCAGCAGCCAGTAACCAAACTGAGAAAAGGAGGGAGGGAGATGATGAAGTCAGCTGTGTGGATTCATCTATACTGGGGCCCTGCCGCTTTCATTCTCCTTCTCCTGCCCCAAAGTCAGGGTCTTCTAGCTTTCTTCATTCTTTTGATCACCGTCTACACCAAGGTGCTTTGCTTTGCCGACTCTAGATAGGTGCTCTGTCCTTCAAGATTACCAACCTTCAACCAGTTATACTTATACAGAACCCAAATAGATGATAAAGGGTAGGAGAAAGTGACCAATGACTTCCCATGGTTAAACATCATGGTTAATTCAGTTCTTATCTGGGTTGACCTTTTAGGTGCACTGGATGCAGCTGACCACATTTCTCCTGGAAACACACTTCATGTGGCTTCCCAGATGCCAGACTCCCTTCCCCAGAGTACAGTAAGGATTTCTGCTCTCCTCTAGCTATGCTTACTGATTTGGTAATCTCAGACTTGGGGCATAAATACCATTTATATAAATACACTGACTGCCCAAATGGGTACCCTATCTCAGACCTCCCTCTCATGCTCCAGACTTGCACATTCAACATCGGAATCAGACAACATTGCTTGGATGTCTGATAAGGACCTCAATCTTTGTATCCTCTCTTTGTATTCAAACTTTGAACTCTTTTTTTTAAGCATTTTAAAAAAGTTTATTTATTTGAGAGAAGAAAGAGAAAGAAGCAGGGAAAGGGCAGAGAGAGAGAGAGAGAGAGAGAGAGAGAGAGAGAGAGAATTGCAAGCAAGCTCCATGCTGTCAATGCGGAGCCCAATGTGGAGCTTGAACTCACGAACCGTGAGGTCATGATCTGAGCCGAAATCAAGAGTCAGCTGCTTAGCTCCCTGAGCCAACCAAGCATCCACCCCTGCCTCTTTTTATGTTTATTCTGAAAGCTCAGGTCAAAACCCTGAGTGAGTCATCCTTGACTGAACTCTCCCTCAAACTTCATACACCTCTGTCAGATTATCCTGTAAGCTCTACCTTAGGGAAAAAAGTACGGAGTCCATCCACTTCTCCCCATATCCACTGCCACTCTTGGGTCTAAGCTACCATCATCTCTTGCCCAAGTTACTGCAACAGCCTCCTAACTGGTCTCCTGCTTTCTTCCTTTCCTTTCATAGTCTGTTTCAACACAACAGCCAGGATGATCCTGTTAAAGCCCTAGTCAGACCACGTCACTGCCCTGCTCAGAAACCTTGAGTGGCCCCATCTCACTCTGAGAAAATGCAAAGTCACCATGATGGCCAAGGATCTGCACAGTTGGCTCCCCACTGCTTCTGGGATTTCACAGCCTATCCCTTTCACCTGCTCAGCTGCCATGTCTCTTGCCTCACTGCTACCACCTGTACATGCCAGATATATGCCTTCCTCAGGGTTTTTGTACCTGCTGTTCCGTTCCTCACCCTTGTTTATTCCTCCATATTCTCGTGCCTCATACGGCCTCCTCTGGGTTTTTGCTCAAATGTCACCACCTCAAAAAGGCCTTGCTAGAACAGCTGATTTAAGATCACAACTCTCGGGGCGTCTGGGTGGCTCAGTTGAGCACCCAACTTCAGCTCAGGTCATGATCTCATGGCTTGTGAGTTCAAGCCCTACATTGAGCTCTGTGCTGACAGTTGAGCCTGGAGCCTGCTTCAGATTCTGTCTCTCCCTCTCTCTCTCTCTGTCCCTCCCCCGCATGCTGTTTCTTTCTCAAAGAAATCACAACTCTCTTCCATCAAACTCCCCATCCCCTCCTCTATTGTTCTCCACAGTCATAAAGTATAAAACAAACCATGTATTTTACTTACTTTAAAAATCATCTTCTGCTCTATAATATAAACTCTAAGAGGGCAGAAACTTATGTTTCTAGTGCCTGCAATAATACCAGCCATGCAGCCAAGAGATTCTCAATAAATACTATGTCATGAATGAGCAAATGGGCATTAAAGATAAGAAACTCATGGCAGTTTCTAACATTTGTTATCTACTTACTAACAATTCTATGTTATGAGTATACTTCTATGTCTCACATACAGAAGTGAGGCATGAAAGAAGTATTCAGAAAGAAGACATTATCTAGCAACAGAGCCCTCGTTCCTCACAGTTCACTATGACCATCTTAACCACCGACCTGACAAATTCCTCTTCAATTATTGAGTGGTTCCACAGGTGACGAATGTCCAGCTGGAGCAGCTGTGTTAGAAGCTGAAGAATTGGTTGCCTCTCTTCTTCCCAGTCAAAGCCGTGGGCGGCCTTGGCCCGGGTTTTCTTCCCCTAAAAAAAGGATCATGCATACATTTAGGGAAAAATAAGGAAGACAAATCAGGTCAAAATCTGCTAGTCTGAGTGCCCAAACTGTCCAGTATTGAGATAAGGTAGAAACTAACACAGCAGATGTATTACAAATTGTAAAATATAAAAGAGCTCCTTGTCAGGGCAGGATATGCTGTGATATTTTTGAGTACTTCCTCATAAATCCTAAAAAAGGACAGACAGGATTCCCAGAATTGTTGGATTCTCTTCTTTCCCACTGACCCCCTGATCTCCCCAGGCCCCATGTTGAGTGAGCCAGGAACTCCAATTACCTTCCCAAGGTCCAGGTCCATGAGGCTTGTCTGGCTGCTCATGGTCTCAAAGGATTCCACGAGGCGTATCAGAGCATAGCAGTTCATTTTCAGGGCATTTAGGTGGGCGCTCCTATCTGACACACTCAGAGCTGCATCATCCAGGACAGTGGGAAGTTCCTGGGAATGACGGGATACCACTGCAAGGGGCAAAGTCCGGAGTCGGCTTTGTTCACTTTCCTCATCTGCTCTGGCTTCCAAACACCCAGCATCAGCAGCCATCAGATTACCAAAGATCTGTGTTTCATCTCTCAGTGGCCACAACACAAGCCAAGTCCTTTGGGACCCCTGACCCCGACACGCTGAACACGCCCTGTCCCCACTCTCTCAGGCCAGCTACCTCAGTTTCTCCTTGGCAACTGGAAGAACTACCTCTATTAAAGAGAGGCAGTTCAAAAGTAGGAAATATTTCTTGTTGGTCTGCCCTTACAGCGAACACACACAACTCTGTATTGTCCACCAAGATTACAGACCTTAATAGGTCAAAGGTCCCCGGGCTTAGCCAAACCAACTGAATCACCACAGCCTTGATATCATCACGTGGCTGATAAAATGTAGGAAACAGTAAACAAACAGACAACAACAAACACCTTCCATCCCCTACCCCCTGACCCATAAACACCTTTCATCAGGAATTCCAGAGTATCTTCCTTGAGGCCAGGATCTATACTTCGAAAGTGACTATGAGGGAAAGAAAGTGTGGGGGGTGAGATAGGAAACTGCAGAGCCCATTCTAGATCAGATCAAACCTGAAGAATCTAAGACTTAAACACATCTGTGAAATTGCTCAACTGGTGTGAAGTTGGGGTCAATGCTCATTAGTAGAATTATCAGCACCCCGAACCTTTATCAGTGAACCTATAATTTGGAATTTCAGGACTAACATGCAACGTTAAGGTAAACAGCCACTAGTTCTTACGGCACCAGCCAGATGCGTTCTACTTACTGTAGAATGCTGTAGACAGTATCAAAGTGCTCCAGCATTGCCAGGGGCCCCTGAGCTCGGAAGGCAGCCTGAAATGCTACAAAGATGAAAGAAACGAATCAACGCAGAGGGGAGATGCCTTGTTGGTAAATTCCATTCATGGCAGAAAATCCAGTTAATCACTTTTACTGCTTGAATACCAAAAAGAGACAGTTCATTTCAATGTAACCTATTATGGTTTTTTTAATTGTGAAATGACAAAAAGTGGCAAAAACAATACAGAGTTCTTGTACTTTTCACTCTGATGATGTTAACATCTTCTATAACCACAGTACAAGAGTCTATAAGAAATCAACATGAACTCAATGCTATTAATGAATCTACAGACGTTATCTGAATTGTTAGTTCTTCTATTTATGTCCTTTTTCTGGTCCAGGATCCAATCCAGGATCCCACAATGCATTCAGTTGTCATGTCTCCTTAGTCTCCTCCCATCTTTGTGTTTCACAATCTTGACACTTTTGAAGTATAGTATTCAGTTATTCTGTACAATGTCCCTCAGTCTGAGTTTGTTTGCTATTTTCTCATGATTAGATTGAGGTTATGTATTTTTGGCAGAATGACCACAGAAGGGAGCCTCCTATCAAAGCATCACACCAAGAAGTACATGGTATCAATGTCTTATTACTATGTTAACCTTGATTACCTGCTAGTGTTCGCCAGCCATCTCCTCTGTAAAGTTACTATTTTCCTCTTTTGTAGCAAATAAGTATCTTGTTAGGGAGATACTTTGAAAATGTACAAATATCTTGTTTCTCCTCACATTTTGCCCACGAATCTGTCCATGATTCTTGCCTGCCACAGTTATTACTGAGGTGTTAGTAAACACTTTGACTTTTCTTTTTTCTTTCTTTCTTTTTAAAAAGATTTTAAAGTAATCTCTATACCCAACATGGGGCTCGAATTTACAACCGAGATCAAGAGTTGTATGCCCTGCCGACTGAGCCAGCCAGGTGCCCCTATATGGTGATTTTTCTATCTCCATTATTCCTTCTACACTTACTAATGGGAATGCCATTCTAAGGATGAGCTGTCCCTTTCCCTCTGGTTATTTATTCAAATTGGAATAGACTCACGGTTATTTCCTTTATTCCATTTTAATGCATTCCTACTACTATTTATTTTGTTGCTTAAATGATCCCATGCTTGACCACTGGGAGGTCCTTCAACTTGGCCTGCCTGCAGTCTTTTCAACGTGGTCCCTTCACTTTTGCTCTCTTACTTCCTGGTATAAGATATTCCAGGCTCATCTTGTACTTTCCTTGGCCCAGTTCTGCAATCAACCATTCTCAACAGAGTCCTCATTTCTTTTGTGGAAGTATGGCATGTAGAAACCAAGTTCTAGGCACTAGTTAGGCTTACTGCTATTGCACTGTATCATTGGTTTTAGGTCCTCTCAGTAGAGAATAGCAGGACATGTACGTGTATATACATACATACCTGTCATATCTGTTTTGATCTGTTTATATATTAAAAATGAGTTAATTTACATATTTTACTTAACCCTAGTATACACATAAAGCAGTTTTAGAATTGCTAACCCATATTCCTATAAAAAAATATTTTACTAACTCAGCTTACAATAATTGTGTAAAGTTCTTTCTTCTAGAGTATATACACAATTACTTTTTTTTTTTTAAATTTGAGACAGCGAGCGAGCCCAAGTGGGGGAGAGAGGCAGAGGGAGAGAGACAATTTTAAGATTCAATAAAAAATAAACATTCAAAGTATAATTAAAAAAAAAGAATGAGACACAAAGCACAAGCTCTTTTGTAATCCTTCTTCCCTATCAACAAACCTCTCTGCCAACATCTTCCCATTTTTTGCTGGAGTCTCAAGAGAAAAGCTAACCTGTCCCACTGCCCCAAAGATGTATCTCCTCTTTTTCACCTTTGGTTTTATCCTGTCCAGGAACTGCTCTTATTCTGCCAGCATGCTCAGGCCTCCCTTCTTTATATATTTATTTATTAAAAACTTTTTAAAAATGTTTATTTACTTTTGAGACACACACACACACACACACACACACACACACACACACACACACAGAACCTGAAGCAGGCTCCAGGCTCTGAACTGTCAGTGCAGAGCCCACCATAGGGCCTGAACTCACAAACCATGAGATCATGACCTGAGCCGAAGTCAGACACTTAACCTGACTGAGCCACTGAGGAGTTCCTTTATATTTTTATGTTTTAAAGTTTAATTTATTTTGAGAAAAAGAGAGCATGAATGGGGGAGGGGCAGAGAAAGAGGGAGACAGGGAATCCCAAGCAGGCTCTGAACCGCCACTGTAGAGCCTGACACAGGGCTCCAACCCACCAACCAAACCCTGAGATCACAACCTGAGCCAAAATCAAGTCAAACACTCAACTGACTGAACCACACAGGTGCCCCAGGACTCCCTTCTTTAAAACAAAACAAAAACACTCAATGCCTTTCATTTGACTTTGCTATCATATCCCTTTTAAGATTTATTTATTTTTGAGAAAGACAGAGTCGCAAGTGGCGGAGGGGCAGACAGAGGGGGAGGCACAGAATCAGGAGCAGGCTCTAGGCTCCAAGCTGTCAGCACAGAGTCTGACTCAGAGCTCGAACTCACGAAGCATGAGATCATGACCTGAGCTGAAGTCGGATGAATGAGCTACCTAGGGGCACGTGGATATCCCTTTTAAATTGTGTCTCCTCTTTCAATTTCCTGATCTGTTTGTGGGATTTATCAACCTAACAAATATTCTCTCAAATATTACCAACTACCTATTTTTTTTTATTACAACTAATGATTTTCTTGGTCCATATATCTGTTTAATTCTTTGAAGCATTACCTACTGATCTAGTCTAGAGTCAGACTGCTAATTTAGGTTTATATTCGGCTTGAACATTTACCAGGCCAAGCTACTTAGCTTACTAAGTCTGTTTCCTCTTCTCTAAGTGAGGAATAATACAAGATTGCACATCATAGGGCTTTTCAGAATTTTTTGGTAAAGGTTAAGTAGAAATAATCCTGTGAAGCAGTCAGAATAATACTTAGCACACAGTGTAACTCAGTATATGTAATTTATTTATCACTCTCTTTTTTATTTTTAAAAAAAAAATTTTTTTTCAACGTTTTTTATTTATTTTTGGGACAGAGAGAGACAGAGCATGAACGGGGGAGGGGCAGAGAGAGAGGGAGACACAGAATCGGAAACAGGCTCCAGGCTCTGAGCCATCAGCCCAGAGCCTGACGCGGGGCTCGAACTCACGGACCGCGAGATCGTGACCTGGCTGAAGTCGGATGCTTAACCGACTGTGCCACCCAGGCGCCCCTAAAAAGAACTCTTAAAGTGAGTAATTATTCATTTAAAAAATGATGCATTATAATAACTGAAGAACAATTTACTACACTGTGCAGCCTGTGCAATTGGTGACGCATATATCAACACTATATGGAGAGAATAGTCTATCTCCACCATAGTGGATTCTGTTGACTTGCCAGCTACTGGTTGACCTCCACACTCTGCGTTCTTCGCTTACCAAATGGTGATATGTCTGGGTTTAGGGAGGCTCCTAGATAATAATCTTTATCAATTTAGACAATCTGGGTAAATCTGTATCCCTTATCAGTAATTAGTTCAGGGAAATAGGCAAAATCCAATTCTGGCTAGGTCTGTTGGGAGGCTTCTGGTAAAGTTTTAAAAAAAGAAAGAAGTATACTACTTCTTTACTACTTCTGTACATAAGAGCAAGGAGCTGGCATCTAGCAACCATCATGGCCAAGAGGAGACAAGCTGGAGTTAAATTATCAAGCTGCTGCATTAACCAACCCTTCTTGTTATAGAAGATAATAAATGAAGTAGGCTATTATCCCTATCTTAACAGATGAGGAAACAGGTACAGACAGAATAAGTAACTTGTCTAAGGTGAGAGTGGTAGAGCCAGTATTCAAATTCAGATAGCTTGGCTCCAGAATCTTAATCTCTACTCTATGTACCTCTCTAAAACAACTTGAAAGACCACTTCCAAGAAGTATAGTAACATTACAAGGTCTTAGTGATAATGTATAAATTGCCTTGTTCATCTGTAGGTTTCAACAGATAACTGTATTGTGCATATACTGTTCAGTGTTGTAGGTGTACATATTTTTTCTTATTATTGCACACCCCTGGAAACAAGAGATCTAGACTCTAAGAAAGTACTACCTGAAACAGGTCAGGTCAAGTCCCATACATTCTGAGAAAGCTACCTTTTCCTGTAACTTTTAAATCCATCAGAACTTAGTTTTGGCACATGGTAAGAGGTAAAGATCTAAAATAAGTTTTTCTCCAAAGAGTAGCTGCATACACCAAGACTGTTTTTTGAATGATTGAGAAAAGGAGGTCAATGTGGACACTCTTCATGTAATACATCCCAAGCAATGCTAGGAAGAAAACCATGAATAGGAAAGATGGGTTCTTTCCCCGCATGGAGCTTAGCAGTGTAGTGCAAAAGGCCAATAATATAATTACATGGGAGATGGCTGTTTTGAAGGGCCAGGCACAGTAGCCGCTACGAAGTCTTACCTCTAAGCTGTGCTGGAAGATGTCGGATGGACAGTACCTCTTGCACTACATACTGATTCACTCCTCCACTTTTCAACAACTCCTCTGGGGCTAAAGGCAGATGGAACTCATACAGCTGGGGACACATCTTTCTCCCACTGGCTCACAGGGCTGGAAACCAAACAGCAAACAGATCAAGATCTGTACCTAAGGACTGTCTTTTTAATCTGGTTCTATTATTCCTCCACCCTCAGATATATGACGCTTATATCAAACTTATACCACGGCGGTAACGTTATCTTAAGAGGACGTGAGGCAACCCTGGACTAGTCCAGGATTCTAGTCCAGAATCTAATTCTAGTTGTGACTCTGCTATTTGGTTATGTCACTTACCCCCCTGAACCTCATCTGCACAACAGAGTTACTAATCTGATTATTTTCCAAAGTTGCTCTGAGGATCAAATGAGTCAAAAGACATGAGAATGTTTAAAGAAATACAAAGTGGCAGGGCACCTGGGTGGCTCAGTCGGTTGAGCGTCCGACTTCGGCTCAGGTCATGATCTGGTGGTTTGTGGGTTCGAGCCCCGCATCGGGCTCTGTGCTGACAGCTCAGAGCCTGGAGCCTGCATCAGATTCTATGTCTCCCTCTCTCTCTGCCCACCTGCCACCCCCCCCCCCCCGTCACATTCTGTCTCTCTCTCCTTCAAAAATAAATAAACATTAAAAAAAATACAAAGTGGCATATCAATGCATCAAGTTAGCATTTCCATTTTAACGGACATTTCCATTTTTATGCACTGAGAGAAGGCCTCACTCAAGGCTAGGGCAGTGGGCCAGCATGGACTAGTGCGTGTCCTGGCTCCAGAATGGGAGAGTATTAACATTTAACATCTGTTTACTCTGTGTCACGTTCTTATTAGGCTATTTGAATATATCATATCTGATCTAGTTCTTCGAATGCCAATCTCATGGAATGCATGATAACACAACCCTATTTACAGATGAGGAAACTGAAGCTAAAAAAAAAAAAAAAGGTTAACCGATTTGCCCATATTCCGCACGGGTCTGTTAAAACTTACTGTTTCTACCACATCTTACCGCCAGAATTACGCCTAATATCGCATCACACTGCCCCATCCCCAACCTTCCCAGTCTTTCATTCCCCGCTGCCCATTAACACCACACCTCAGAAAAGAACTTCACCCGCCGCTCCTCCGACTCAGGACGTGGGGCCGAAATGAAGGAAAAAACACGGACTGCACAATACGCACCAATCAGCACCGCAGCACTCAAGCGGGCAGAGAAACCGGCCAATCCCCGGCAGGCGGAGGCAAAGACCCGCCTCTGAGCCAGGCGCCGCGCGGGCAAAGCCACAAAGGTGGAGTTCAAATCTCAACCGCCGTTAGGAGGCCAATCGCGTCACTCTCTGCAGAGACCCGCCAATCACATCTCAGGAGCCTGGAAGCCAGACGCGCCGCCAGGGGCGGGGCAGGGTCTAGATCCCCTGTCCACCTCCCCTCGTCTCGCGGCTGCCTCATTCTGCCGCCCTTTCAAGCTAGGCGGTGATAGCGCCCTTGGGCTAGTGACCCACTCAGTCACCGCCCCGCCCTTCCCCCCCCCCCCCCGGGGCAGGAGGCAAGTCCAAGCCGGGAGTTAAAAGGTTTAGGCTCTAATCCATGTTCCGCCATCTCCTCTATGTGACGTCCAGCAGGTCACTTCACTCTCTGCGCCTCAGACTTCCTCCCCAGTAGAAAAGGGATAATAAATACAGCTACAACACAATACTGCTGTGAGGCACAGAAAAAGAGGTTTTGGGTTCCGGAGTTTGCACCTTCATCTCCCTCACAGTTGAGGGACGCCCCCAGGAAAGAGTGAGTTTCCTCGAAATTCAGTTTTGGGGCGTCCTGGGCAACGACGAAATGAATCCCTCTGCTCTTCCGACTCTCCAAGACTTCGGCGGGCGAACCGGAAGCACCTGGGCGGGGTGGGAAGGGAGGGAGGGGTTTCAAGGCCTCTGTACACCGGAACTTGGAGGGTGGGGTTTGTGGCTGGGGAAGGAGGAGCCAAGACGGGTCTGGCTGCGGGAGGTACCTCGATGAGACCCAAGATGGCTCCTTCCGTCTAGTGTCCTGTGAGGCTGGCGCGGAAGGTCCCTGTCAGCTCCTCGAAGGTCACGCGTGACCCTACTCTTATGCTTGTGTGGTTGCTGTTGTAAGGGAAGAGACGAGAGCAATGGCAGGGAGCCTCTCTTTGGGGGCAGGCAGGGTCCTATGGGGCCGGGTGCCCTTATCCTGCAGAAGCTTCTCTCTGGGTAAGTGGCTGATGTAGAAATTGCCCTGAAAACTGCTTGTCAGTAAGCGGCTCAGACTCATTCCCTTTCTTCCCCGTCCCTAGGTATTCCCGGAATGTTCCACGTAAGGCTCACCCTCCCGCCTCCCAAAGTGGTTGATCGTTGGAACGAGAAGAGGGCTATGTTCGGGGTGTATGACAACATCGGGATCCTGGGTAAGATTCGATTCCGTGGTACAGAATTTCAGAGTAATTTTTCACGTAAGATTATCTTTTTTTCCCCCCCACCAGTGTACGAATGGTACCATGCTCAGTAATAAGAGCCGACACTTAACGTGCGTCTTCTGGTTGTTTTGACGCTGTTCTGAGTGCACTACATGTATTAATCCTTACAGTAAGGGTTGTTTTTTGTTTTTTCAGTTTACAGGTAAGGAAACTGAAGCACAGAGGGGTTAAGTGATTTTTTTCCAATGCTAGTAAATGGCAGTGCCAGAATTTGAACCACAAGCAGTCTGGCTCCAGGGTCTGTGCTCTTGATCGTGTAGGTGCTGCTTGTCTGTAGACGCAGCTCAGGAAAATGCAACTGCATGCTGAAGGCTTAGCTGGTGGAGGCTGTGTTCGTTGCCTCTTGTCTGGGAACTAACGTGTTCTCTCACATTACACAGGAGACTTTGAAATGCACCCCAAAGAACTGATCAGGGGCCCCAGATGGCTTAGAGGCTGGAAGGGGAATGAATTGCAACGTTGTATCCGAAAGAAGAAAATGGTTGGAAATCGAATGTTCCTTGATGACCTGCACAACCTTAACAAACGCATCAGCTACCTCTACAAACACTTTAACAGACATGGAAAGTACCGGTAGAAGAGAAAGCTGGGAACTGTGGAAGAGACACATCTGTCACGGGGGGGGACAGTACTTTTCCCTTTGGGATTTGTATGCTCTCTAATAAAATGGGGCTTCTTTGGAATCTGTTTTCTGCTCTTTATTTTACTCTTACATTTTATTTTACTCTAGATGCTACTTTTATTCATTCAAGTAGACTATGAACTCTGGCTCATCCATCCATAAGTCTTAGGTTTGGACTTCACCACTTGCCCATTGCAGACTAGCTATATTTTTAGCCTTTAAAAAAGAAAAGGGGGTGGGGGCGCCTGGGTGGCTCAGTCAGTTAAGTGTCTGACTTCAGCTCAGGTCATTGATCTTGTGGTTCGTGGGTTCCAGCCCCGCATCCAGCTCTGTGCTGACAGCTTGGAGCCTGGAACCTGCTTTGGATTCTGTGTCTCCCTTTCTCTCTGCCCCTCCTCTACTCATGCTCTGTCTTTCTCTGTCTCTCTCTCTCTCTCTCTCTCAAAAATAAATAAACATTAAAAAAAAAAAAAAGAAAGAAACGGGGCACCCGGGTGACTCAACTGGTTGAGCCTTGGATTCTTGATTTCTGCTCAGGTCCTGATCTCACAGTTCATGAGATTGAGCCCCTAATGGGGCTCTGCGCTGACGTCGTGGAGCCTGCTAGAGATTCTCTTGGCCACTCCCCTGCTCTCAAAATAAATAAACTTTAAAAAAAAAAAAAAAGAAAAAGGAAATTGTTGGCACTTTTTGACATTTAGCTTTTCATGTATCGAAAGTGGTAATTTCTTATTGCTTCATAATGCTGTTATCTTTTTTTTTTTTAATTTTTTTCAACGTTTTTTATTTTTGGGACAGAGAGAGACAGAGCATGAACGGGGGAGGGGCAGAGAGAGAGGGAGACACAGAATCGGAAACAGGATCCAGGCTCTGAGCCATCAGCCCAGAGCCCGACGCGGGGCTCGAACTCACGGACCGCGAGATCGTGACCTGGCTGAAGTCGGACGCTCAACCGACTGCACCACCCAGGCGCCCCCATAATGCTGTTATCTTAAATGTATGTTTGAAAACATTTTCACACTGGAATGAAATGTAACAAAATTATGCTTGTTCATTATTTTCATCAAAAATATTGGGTACTTTTTCTAAGTTGAGAAATGCAAGAAAAAATGTAATAGATAACATGGTTTCCTAGTTAGGGGATAAAGATATATTCTCACATGTACACTTTATTTTTTTTTTTTTTAATTTTTATTTTTCAACGTTTTTTATTTATTTTTGGGACAGAGAGAGACAGAGCATGAACGGGGGAGGGGCAGAGAGAGAGGGAGACACAGAATCGGAAACAGGCTCCCGGCTCTGAGCCATCAGCCCAGAGCCCAACGCGGGGCTCGACCCCACGGACCGCGAGATCGTGACCTGGCTGAAGTCGGACGCTTAACCGACTGCGCCACCCAGGCACCCCTCACATGTACACTTTAATATGAGGTATTAAGTACCATATGAATGGTTTGCATACTAAGCCTGACTGATCATCAGAATCACGTTGGTAGTTTCACGATTTCAAAAGCCGGGTCCCTGCCCCCAAAGATTTGTGATCTGTAGAGCTGAGCTGAGTCTTGCACATCTACTTTTTTAAAAAATACATTAAAAAAAAATACATACAATGGAAATTTTTTAAATTACTGAAGGGTAATCAGGTAAAGAGTTTTCTCACGGCCTGTTTTTTTTTTGTGCTTTGCAGAGGCAACCACTATTTTTTTTTTTTTTTTTTTTAGTCCTTTGGACATAAACTGTACATGTATAATCATGTATTAACTGTATATCTCCTTTTGAAAAGAGGATTCTATTTATTTTTAGTTTTTATTTTTAATGAAAAGAGGATTCTATATACACCGTTCTATACCTTGCTTATTCACTTAATACAACCTGGATTGTTTTATATCCTCACATTCTATACCATAATGATTTAACTAGTTCCATTTTGATAGATATTTAGATTGTTTCCAGCCTTTTACTTTTTCAAAGCATGACTCCTAATTTTAGATAATTCTGATTGTAAAATCCCTCAGGCGATTTTCATTAACCATGTTTAGAAACCACTGGTGATAAATGATCTAAATAAGAGATTGTATTTGGTCTAATCAGGAGAGGCTTCCTAGAAGAGGCTGGATTTCAGCAAAGAAATAAGTGGTAGAACATTTCAAGTGGGGAAGAGAAGAGTGATCAGTGGTGCATATGACCCAGCAAATCCACTCCTAAGTATATACCCACCAGAAATGAAAACATGTTCATACAAAAAGTGGTACATAAATGTTCATAGCATTGTTATTCATAATAGCAAAAAGAAACAAAGCAAATGTCTATCAACTGATACAGAAAATGTGGTATATTCATGCAATGGAATATTATTCAGCCATAAAAAAGAATGAGGTACTGATACATCTAACAACATGAATGAACCGTGAAAACACTTTAATAAACCAAAGAAGGCAGTCATAAAAGGCTTGTATTGTATTCATATCAAATGTCCAGAATAGGCAAACCTACAGAGACAGAAAGTAGATTAGTTATTGCCAGGGAATGGGATAAGGGATAGGGAATGAGAGATGACTGCTAACAGATACAAGGCTCTTTTAGGGATGGTAAAAATGTTCTGGAATTAGCAGTGATGGTTGCACGACCTTGTGAATACACTAAAAAACAATTGTATACTATATAATCATATGGTATATGAATTATATCTCAATTTTTAAAATGGTGTAGGAGACTTGATTTATTTCTAAATTAAGCTTTATTTTTAGAAAATCAAAGTAATGCATGCATATAGTTAATTAAAAAGAAGGGAAAGTCGTGTGACAAAAAGTCCCCTGCTTCACCTGTCTACCCTCCAAATTAGCTTCCTAGAATGAAAGGCTCTCACTTCTTTGAAATATTTTGGTATTTATTATCATAATTTGAAACAATATGCCCCACTGCTCTTTATGATTTATCAGCTTTAGACTTTATTAGCTTCCTGTTATGAAAGATGAAGATTTAGCCCAATGATTTAAAATAAAAAACCTGTTAAGCTAGGAACAGGAGGAAATTTCTTTAACTTGGTAAAGATTACATACTAGAGATCAACCACAAATATTTAATAGACATGTATTCCCTTTAAGATCTGTAATAAGACATAATAAGCTAAATAAGTCAGAAAAAGACAAATATATGATTTTTTTTTACAAATATATGATTTAATTTGTATGTGGAATTTAAGAAACAACAGATGAACATAGGGACAGGGAAGGAAAAATAAGGTAAAAACAGAGAGGGAGGCAAAACATAAGAGACAGTTAAATACAGAGAACAAACTGAGGATTGCTGAAGGGGAGACAGGTGGGAGGATGGGCTAAATGTGTAATGGGCATTAAGGAGGGCACTTGTTGGGATGAGCACTGGGTGTTATATGTAAGTGATGAATTACTGGGTTCTACTCCTGAAACAAATACTATACTGTATGTTAACAAAGTTGAATTTAAATAAATAAATTTTTTAAAAAGAAAAAAAAAAGATTAGTAACAAGACAAGGATGTGTACCATTCCTGTTGCACTTTAACTTAGTATTGAAAGTCCTAGTGAATGTCAAGAAAGAAAGGAAGAAAGAAAGGGAAAGAAAGAAAAAAAGAGTGGATATGAGGGTTGAAAGAATAGAGATCAAATTATGATCATTTTTTAAATATTTATCAAATTGTGATCATTTACAAATTATATGATTTTCATTGTCTAAAACAGGAATCTTTAAAAAACATATTTAATGTTGATTTATGTATTTTGAGGGAGAGAGAGCGTGAGCAGGGGAGGGGCAGAGAGAGAAGAAGAGAGAGAGAATCCCAAGCAGGGTCCACAGTGTCAGTACAGAGCCCAACGCAGAGCTTGAACTCACGGAGTGTGAGATCATGACGTGAGTTGAAGTTGGGTGCTTAACTGACTGAGCCACCCAGGCTCCCCTAAACATTTTATTTTTAAATAATCTCTGCTCAGTGTGGGCTTGAACTCATAACCCTGAGATCAAGATTCACATGCTCTACAAACCAAGTCAGCCAGGTGCCTTGGGACTTCAATATAAAAATTTTTGAAGAACACAATTCAACCCATAACAATAGTCTTTGGTGTCCCCAAGACATTCTTGTGCTTCTGTTGTTAGTTCTTGAAATTCATGATTCCTTATAGCTTCTATAGATTCTCCAGGTTTGATTTTGGAAGAGGAAGCCAGTGGCCTCTATTAGTTATCTTGTCAGGAAACTGGATTTACACTCTGCAATCCTCTCCTTTCTTGTAGCCCTTTCCCCATTCCTCTTCATCATAGTTTTATCAGCATTTTGGCTTAAATCAGTAGACAGTATTTACATTATTAGGACTATGTAAATATTGTTTACTACTTGGTGTACTGGGGGATAACTAGTGTTTCTTATTTAAAAATTCTGTATCTTGGGGCGCTTGGGTGGCTCCGTCGTTTCGGTATCTGAGTGGCTCAGGTCATGATCTCGTGGTTCATGAGTTTGAGCCCCACATGGGGCTCTCTGCTGTGAGCACTTCAGAGCCCACTTCAGATCCTCCGTTTCCCTCTCTCTCTGTCCCTCCCCCAATTTCTCATTCAAAAATAAATAATCATTTAAAAAAAGAAAAACATTTAAACAATAAAACCTCTATATCTTTATCGAGATACAATTCAAACAATCCAATGGATTTTAGTATATTCACAGAGTTGTACATCCATCATCATTTTGGAACATTTTCATCACTACTCCAAAACGAAATCCTATGCCCCTTAACTGTCACCCTCAATTCCCCCTCCCTCCCGGTTCTAGACAACCACAAACCCACTTTCTGCCCCTATACATTCTTGCCTATTCTAGATGTTTCATCTTAAATGGAATCATACCAGATTTCATCCTTTGTGACTGGCTTTTTAAATTTAGCATAGTGCTTTCAAGGTTCATCCATGTTGTAACATATATTAGTACTTCATTCCTTTTTATTACTGAATAATATTCCATTGTATGGATATACCACCTCATATTTATCCATTCATCAGTGGGTGGACATCTAGGTTGTTTTTACTTTTTGGTTATTCTTTTT